TCTTGCTAAGTTGCCCAGGCTGGTCTTGAACTCATGACCAAACAATCCTCCCACCTTGGCCTCCCAAAGTGCTGAGATTACAGGCATAAGCCCTGTACCCAGTTGATGTAAAATATTTCAATAATTGGAAACAAGACAAGTGAGAAACCTTTATATCCTGATTACCCTCGTGTCAACAGTATTGGTCTCCAGGTGGTGAGATTGTACTCATATCATCTGTTTTAATTCATTTTTTTGAGTCAGAGTCTCACTCTGTCACCCAGGCTGGAGTGCAGTGGCACACTCATGACCACCACAGCCTCAAACTGCTGGGTTCGGGTGATCCTTCCGCCTCAGTCTCCTGAGTAACTGAGGCTACAGGTGCATACCACCATACCCGTCTAATATTTTTTTTAATTTGTTGTAGAGACAAGGTCTCACCAAGTTGCCCAGGCTGGTCTCAAACCCCTGAGCTCAGGCAATCCTCTCGCCTTGGCCTCCCAAAGTACTGGGATGACAGGCTTGAGCCACCGTGCCCGGCCAAATTGTACTGTTTTATACACTGGTTAATTAGGCTTTCCGATTAGACCACAGGAAGAGATCGATGAAATCACTGAATGAATGAATGAATTGCAAGACTTGAGAACTGGGACTGTGTGGCCCATGGCAGGTGCTCATAGAGGTTTGTGGGTTGAGGAATGGCACCTGCTTCTCGACAGAGAAGAATGGAGATTGTGAACAGGAACAAGTCTCAGAGTCACAGTGGAAGCCACTGAAGCCACTCCGGGCGGGAAGAACCCTCCTACCATCTCCTTGCTGGCCCTCAAGGTGGGGAGACAGGCTGGGAGGGGTGGAAGGACTTGCCTGTGGTCACTCAGCTGGAGGTGGCTGAGCCAGGGATTGAACCTGCGACTGTCCTATCCTGTCCCAGAGGTCATGTCTTAACCATTGCTGGGCTGGAACCAAATTAGATCCCAACGTGGGGCCCTCAGAACCTGCCAGAAGCTCTAGCCCGGCTGAAATGCTGACACAAGCCTTTGGATATTAATAGCCCCTGTCTGGGCTGGGCTCCCGTGTACCGCCCGAGGCTATCCCAGGTCACCGGCCCCACCCAGGAGAGAGTCTGCTGGTGGACAGCTGAGCAAACCTGTCCGGGATGCAGTCCAGGGAGTCCAGAGGCCTGCCTTGTCCCTACCACAGGGACAGTTCGGGAGTTGGACCTCTTCTCTTTTTGGCTTCCCAGAGGAGGACTTAACCGCCCCCTCACCTCCAGCCCCAGCTTCTTTATCTATGAGTAGGAACAATAGCACGACCCACTATAACATGACTTCAGGGGCATGTCAGTTCCATGGTGTCAGTAAGCTAGGATGCTAGTGAGCCCAGCACACTATCAATATCGGTATCAATCCCAACCCTTTGGGAGGCAGAGGCGAATGGATTGCCTGAGCCCAGGGGTTGGAGACCAACCTGGGCGACTTGGCAGGATCTTGTCTCTACAATAAATAAAAAAATCAGCCAGGCGTGGTAGCACACACCTGTATTCCCAGCTACTTGAGAGGCTGAGGCGGAAGGATCACCTGAGCCTCGCAGGGTGAGATAGCGGTGGCCGTGAGCGTGCCACTGCACTCCAGCCTGGGCAACAGAGTGAGACTCCAACTCAAAAAAAAAATATTCCATGTTCTGTGGCCACATTGTCATGGGCGTCTCTATTCAGCTGTCTAGAGTCGAGGATGAGGATTCACGTGTCTTCACTGCTTCACCCCACAGGGCAGGACATGTGGCAGCAGAGACATCTCCCTTTGTGGACATGTTGTCATCATGGAACACTCTAGAAGAGGAAGAGGGGTCTGTAGGGAATCCCAGACTGAGGCTCCCGGACTCTGGCCTTACCCAGCCAGGGATGGCATGGGGGCCAAACCACGGGATGAGTCTTTCGGCTCTCAGAAGGGAGAGAGGGGCTGGGCATGGTCCCTCACGCCTGTCCTTGAAGCACTTTGGGAAGCCAAGACTGGAGAATCCTTGAGTGCAGGAGTTTGAGTCTAGCCTGGGCAACATACAAGATTTCGTCTCTACAAAAAATTTAAAAAACAGCCAGTTGTGGTGGCATGCCTGTAGTCCCAGCTACTCGGGAGGCTGAGGCCCAAGGATCGCCAGAGTCCAGGAGGTCAAGGCTGCAGTAGGCCATAATTGTGCTACTGCATTGCAACCTGGACAACAGAGTGAGACCCTGTCTCAAAAAAAAGGAAGCCGGGCTCGGTGACTCAGCCTGTAATCCTGCGCCTTTGGGAGGCTGAGGTGAGCGGATTGC